TGTCTTGGTCACTCATGGGAGGTAAAGGCTTAAAGGCTTTGGGTTGTTTCTGGCTCTAGATCTGCCATTCTTCTCTTTACAAAAGAGGCATAATATTTTGCTTTTTACTTTAAATTTTACAATTTTATTAACACCAAACTCTCTCTGCATGGTGTTTCTCAATTGGCTTATTTTTTTTTTCTGATTTTAGAACGCAAACTTGAACAGAATGAGTTCCCTCACAACTTATATATCAAGAGTTATACTGCATCATCTACAACCTGTCTTGCATTTCGAAAGTGGATATTTACCTTAGCAAGGGTTTGTGTGCTAATGTTATACCTAATGTTAAGCCTGGTCGTCAAGATGTAGACCAGTGCTATCAGTAATTGAGAAGAGAGAAAGACTATTCACTGTTTCATGAGTGAGTGCCTCAGTCATTACAGTAAGGTACTGGAAAGAAGTGGTCCTATGAATCTTTGTGCATTAGTTCCCACCAATTGAATGGAAAAAAAAAAAAAAAACAAAGTCATTTTTGTTTTGTTTTAGCTTTTACCCATAGAAGAGGGCATTTAACTTATATTGTTTCTCAATTTTCCTCACTAAGTTGAAAACAAAAAGCGACTTAATGTTTTTCATTCAGTCTGTATCTTGGCCAAAGGAGGGTGATTTACGTGACCTTTACATTACATCTAGTTTAATGGGTGAAGAGGATTCAAAGGTACATTTATAGGAAGGGGGCACACAAACACCAGGACATTTGTTAGTAAAAGTGAGTAGAATTTCAAAGTCTTCAAGGAAACGTGGTGCTGAGGATTTGAAAGTAAAGCATTTTATTTATTTGTTGTGTAATTCAACAGGAGGTGCAGATGAACAATGACGAGAGTGCAGTAAATCTCCTATATACCCAGGTATTCCTTTTTCTTCACCGGAGAAAGATATATTAACTTTATTTTTTCCCTTTTTCTATGTTATGTCCTTTATGCATAGTTCTTTTGAACTGAAATAGACCCTTAGCTGCCTATTTTAAGTCTTGTATCTTTTCATCAATAAACTAGCTTGGGTTTATAATTTTTACGGTGTACTGGCCAAAGCAATGAAACCAGAGTCTCCAGCCACATTGTAGAAGAATGATACTCAATTAGCTTTTTGAAAAACCTTGTTGTTCTGTGTTAGGGTATTTAAGATCAAACTATGTGGAAAATTAAGTTCAACCCTTGACCTGCAATGTTTTTGATCATCATGTTTTACCATTGAGAAAGTGCAAGGGAGTGCCAGTGTCCCAAACAACCATCCCAAAGTCTGAGATATTTGTAGCACTGCAAAGATGATTTTATGAATAACTTATTTTGTGTAAATATCTCTTTATACCACTTGTGTTGTCATTTTAAAACACATGCAGGCCGTTAGTGACTTAAGAACACGGAAACTGTCCCCTGGAAAAAACCTCCAAAAGCTTAAAGACCTGAAGGCAGCAAATAAAAAGAAAGAGGTAAGAGATTCCATGGTGTATTTGCGCACAAAACACTCTGTGTCGACCAAACATGTGCAATGTTGTAATATATCTTCGAGACACACGATATTATTGTCTTAAGAAAAATCGTAAAACAGTCTAGTATGGTTTTTTGGAGATTACCGGAAAGTTTAATTGGGTTGAAGATTGAGCCCATATGAAAGAGGAATCTCAACTATGTCTTTGTTCTTTTCAGCCACTGGCTGGAGTATTTCACTCAGTTGGTTTTCAATGTTCTTCCTGAGCTTGTTCAAAACATGGTTCTCTCATTTGGATCCGATCTTTTCACGCTCGATTCCGTTTTTAACATTCATTTCAATTTGTACTGGACACACATACACAATTTGGACCTTTTTTTTCTTTTTCTTTTTTAATAATTGCAGTATCTTGATGTTGCAAGAACGTTAGATGGGTATGCAACTGTTGTTTTTCCTCACTGTGGTTGCGATGCGAGAAAAAGTGGTCATGTGATCGTATCCATAAGTTTAAACTCTTTCCGACTACGAGCGTGTTCCAGCGAGGGTGAAAAAGAGGTCAGTATAGTCCTTTGTTTTTATTCGAAAATGTTGACGCTATACACATACATACCAGTGTCTCTCGCCCGTTTTCTGTGATGTCTGCATTTTTCGTGGTGGCATTTACAAACGGCAAAACAATATGATTACAGAATGCTTCAAGAATTGTTTTTGAAGTGAGTCATTCTTTGTCTATTATTGCGTTTGTCTTGACATCACGAACTGCTTTATTTTCAAACAAGCAAGGTGAAAATGGGAGTAAGCAGGGGTGGCACAGCGGTGAGAGCGCTCGCTTTCCACCACTGCGATCCGAGTTCGATTCGCGGACCTGCTGGCGTCACATGAGGGTTGAGATTGTTTTTGGTTCTCGTTCATGCTCTGAGGGTTTTTCTCTGGGTCCTCCGGTTTTCCTCCCTCGACGAAGAAACCAATGTTATAAATTCTAATTCGACCTGGAAACAGTGGACAAGGAGAGCCACCTCGTGGAATGTCCACTGCTAAATCCCCTTTATTTTTTATTTTATCATTTTTATTGAAATGGTAAATGAGTTGGTTGGCTTTCTTGTTTTAACAGGAGCAGGAGCACACATTCAACTGGGAGGAGCTGACACAGTGGGAGGCTGATAGAGAAGCAATGGCATTTTGTTTTGAGTACAAAAAAGGCGACAAAAAGCCAAGATGGGTTAAAATATATTCCACATATGTTAGTAGACATTTTATGTTTTTGAATGAATGACCAGCCAACTGAATGAAATATCCTGACAGAGTGAGCGAGTGCGACGACCTCTGAGAACGTTCTGAAAAAAAGATTTGATGAGAAGTACAATGGTCGTAGATATGTGTTTTAACTGAAACCCATGAAGTAATCTCAACCTAAGAAACAAAACAATATGAAATCAGCCCACTCTGTCCATTTCGTGGCGCGAAAGCCTCATCAACAATTGACTCGTTTCTAATTAAGAAGTAAATTTTGTGATCTAATCATTGAGAAGAAGTCCGACATCGTTCAACGTATCGAGCACGTATGGTCGTTCGGAAAATTTTAAAGGCCAAGGCTATCTCAAATCAATGTCGCCTTAGCCAAGGTCGACATGAATGGTGACTATCTGAGTGACGGGGGCCAACCATCGTCCCAGCCGATTGACTCGCTCTTCAATAAGTGCACTGGGGACAAGTCCATGTGATCGAGACCGAGTGTCCGAGGGTCATGGCGGGGAACAGTGAGAAGTAGGACTGTGCACCGCCTTACCTTGTTTTTTCAAGTTACGTTAGTTGGCCATAACCGGCTCTTTTCGTAATGTCTTTGTTGTTGTTATTTTGCAGTTTGTTTATATGAATGCGTGCGTTGACAGAGTCATGGCTGAGATGGAAATGAATAAAAAGGTAACGTCAGAACAGACACTTTGTATATAACAACAAAGAGAATAAACCGACTAATAGATCTCATATCGCTCGTATTTAAGTAGTCCTTGCTCCGAGGGTTTTTCTCCGGGTTCTCCGGTTTTCCTCCCTCCGCAAAAACCAACATTCCAAATTCCAATTCGATCTAGAAACAGTGGACAAGGAGGAGCCACCCAGTGGAATGTCCATTGCTAAATTATTTATTTATAATTACTGATTATTTATTAGGAACTGATATGCTTCCATCTGGTCTCGATGGGCTTGTTACCCACGAAGTTAGCGAAGCTGTTTTTTTTTTTTTTCACCAAAAAATTATTGATACGCGAAGCTATATGAGAACTCTAAATTAGAAAGCCTAGTGACAAAGTTTAGTTTTCACGCGAGAAGATTTTTTTTCGGTTTTTCGTTTTGAGCCCCGCTTGATTCAGTACTGTGTTCACTTTTTTAATGAAACATGGAGAGCTTTTACGCCCACGATTGTGGAGTACGATACAAACGATGTGGTTAATTTCCAATTGGTTTGTTACAGGATGGTATGTTACCACTGTATCCAGGCGGAATAGAAACAAACATGCCATCAGAAGAAGCAACCGGAGACGTGACAAATTCACAGGAGACGGTAGGTGAATGATATCTACTCTGTGCTGTTACTGTGTCCAAGTACATTACACATACTTCAGTACCTTCGATTGGCTTCAATTTAGTCACTGAAAGTACCTGGAGGGGGGTGGAGAAGGGAGAGTTTGCTCTGGCGTGAGTCCCAACTTTGTCCCTTTTATACACCAATCTTGATCAAACTGTTGACCACTTCAATATATCTATCATCCATATATATCATCCATATATTATCATCCATGCAGGATGGTCCCATCTCTTACTGTATTTAAAATAAATGGCAATTTTGCGAGGATACTTTTTACAGACCGATTTCAGCATGACTCACTAACCCTAAGCAATTACTCTGCTTTTTTTATATTATAACAATTCCTCAGTAAACTTTTTGTAAAAAAGACAGAACAAAAAACGAGGCCTTTGTTTTGAACAAGAAAACTTTTTTTCTCGCTTTCGTCGCAAGTGGTATCATAAATTTACCATTAGTTTCTTTTCTTTACACATGTACCTTATCTTGTGAAATCCCTTCCCTTTTACGTAACTCTAGTCTTAAATTTGCGCCATTCACCGTTCGGACAGAGCGTGGTCTTATTGCCCTTTATAGAGAACGTCCTACCTTGTCCCCATGCCCCCTTCACTTAACCTATATATGGATACTCTTCAGCAAGAGGTTTGACTGAAAAAAATACAAACAATACAAAATGCACTAGAACATCTAAGCAGGAGGACGTTAAGCACAAATGTCAAAAGTCAACATCGTGTTAACGGCTCGAAAAACGTGTTGCGCCAACTTTTCCCAATCATCTACTGCACGAGGCGATATCCAATCATTTCTTTCCCATTGACGTTTCGTAATCAGGCGATTTGTACCCAAATTCAGACGATTCGTACCCAGTTTGTGTTGGTTCGTACCCGACTCGCTGGTCGATTCGTACCCTTCCCAGGAGATCGCACGAAATTCCTCACGTGCTGCAAGGGTGTGAACAAATGTTGATTATTGTTTACGATAAGTTGGTAAAGAGTTAGAGCTTAAAGTTCTGTTGATTATGCTTGAGACCTTCTTTTCAATAACAGGGCCGGGTTGTCCGAAAGGGGGTTAACCTTTATCTAGGATTTAAAGTTAACCTTGGATTTCATTTCCCATGCAGAAGAGCGCGTATAAGAGCTAAGGCTTTGTTGAGTCTTCCCTTAATATGACTCGAAACTAGGGGGAAAAAATATAAAAGAAAATATCTTTTGCGGAGCTGTAAAACTAAATTAAAAATTTAGGTTAACCGTATTTTTAACAACCTGGCCCGGTGGTTGCATATCAAAAATGGACACCTCATAAACAAAACTTATTGAAGCAGATTATGTTGCTAATTAACATAAGAAACCGACCTTACTTTAAACATACTTAACATGGAAACATGCTTTATTAGTATGGGTACGAAACACTAAACTGACTGGACATGAATGGTCCCAGCTAGGTACAATTCGACTGGTCAGCCACGTGACAGAAAAAAGGTACCGTGATAAAAGAAGGACCACTGAGCAGTAAAGCTTATGTTCTCTGTTTCTATAGGAAACCAATCCCGCTTTCAACCAGAGGGGTCATACCAAACCATACGCTGCCAAGAATAATAAATTTTCAATGCCGAGAACGTCCTCAAAGAATTTGCATTCCACCATCGAAGACGAAGACTTGTGAATTAAGAGCAACTAATATGGAGTGAAAATTTCTTTCCTCGCTATGGATCACCAGACGCACGCAACGTGTAGCGTGTTGCTAACAGAGCTTCAATTTGGGTCTAGTTACCAGTGACCATTATTGAGGCTTTTGTGATGCGTATGAACTGTCTTCTCCTGATAGATATTACTGTGTACTCACAGCTAACTTCTACTGATATAGGTCTGTGTAAAGTACACTTGCTCCAAGATTTACCCTTTGAACCCTTGACACATAACATAATAATCAACTACAACTGCAACCTTGAATGAAGTCTCAAAGTCTTGCATCTTTGGTAGATAGAATACGTCGGTGATCTTTCATGCCTAAAAAAACTTACACCGTTTCTGACCTGTGAATCTTTCCTTTGAGGTCATTTGTTGATTCTAAGGAACCATTGGGATTTGTTAACCACGTAGGAAAGTCTGATTCATATCAAACATGGACTGAATTTGATTTTGAATACTAAACTATTTTCATTCTAGGATGCATGTAAATAAGTGAAGGTATTAAAAATTATCTCTCTCGTTCCCGGCACAAAGGGAGCATAAGGAGAAGGCAATTGGAGAAAATTACAGATTAAAAATAGTAGTAGGGGTTTTTGGTTGGAAAAAAGACTGCAGTAGTTTTAAGTTAAAAAGGCAGGTCTTCCAAGAAATAAGCGCATAGTTTTTTGTCTAGCTATTCATATGATATAGATATCAAATACAGAGTCCAAGTAAGAAGTTGTGATTTAAACAGACAATACCAGGACAAATACTTAACTAGATCTGAGTCAGTAAGTTATCCAATGTGGCCAGTAAGATATATTTTAGAAACAGGAAATGCGTGGCGGGTACCAACGTGCATTTGAACCTGAATTGTTGAATTAAATATTATTAGTACTTTGTTTGGTAAAATATCAACATAAATATTGATTCCTCAGATATATCTCTACGGTTCGGATGTAAATATCGTCCCACAGCTGTCGCACGAGTGCGTGACACTGCCCGCGACTGTTACAAGACTCTAACGAATGTGACACCAGCGTGCGACACTGCTGACGACTTTGACCGACTCGACTTTAACACTCGACTGCGGATTTTGTTTTCCTTATTACTCAACAGGGACCAGTCTTGTTTAGCCCTATTTTTCCACAGTTGGAACAATTTCAATCGAGAAAATAAGATAAAGTGACATTTGTAAGTGGAGCTAAGTTTCATGACTACATTCGGTAGGTTGCGAATAGATGCATGGAGGCCAGTTTTCTAGTTTACAAATACCTGTAAACAATGTGACTTTTAAATAGATTGCGCTTAGAAAATCGCGAAAAGAAAAGTTTAGGCGGCGACTAATATCGGCGTAAGGAATCGAATAGTATACACCGCACAACCTTAAATGCGAGAGGGAGGAGGGAACCTTTGGGACGTCCAAATACAGTCGTGACCTCCATCTATTTACACCCATGTACTGACAAGAGAGAATGAGAAAGTCACTTTCTCTGGATATTTGTTAATTCCATAGAAGGATTATTTTTATATTTCATAGTCTATTTTTATTATACAAAATATTCTGTGCGACTTCGCTAAAACGAGGAAAATAAAAGTAAATCGATTACATAGACTATACAAAGCGATTATGAAGAACGATCATAATCAATGGAAAAACTGATCGAACAAAACAGGGAGATTCCCTCTCAAATTAGGTGGTTTGAATGTTGTTTCGTCCCCAAGTAACAGACATGGAACATTGGCAAGAGCCCTCGCCGTTTACAGCCGTAGCCTGAGACCTCGTTGATTTTCGTTTCGGCCTTCATTGCGTTATATTCATTTCGAGGCAAAGCAACAGTGTGACGTCATACAGGTTATATCAGTATCAAAAATGCTTGAACTTGCAACACAGTTGTGCGAATAACAGCCATCAATCCAATGTTTACGGCACGAGGAAGGTTTTCTCACAAACTTTGCTCCTTTGGAAAATTTGGAAACAGTAAGTATTCGAAGCTAACACTTGGAGAAAGGAAGTCAGAGGGTATCGCAAACAACTTTAAAAGAGATTACACACAAAATGCGTTTTCCTGTAAAATAGTAAAAAGCACTCTAACAAAAGTCTTCGTTCATGCTCGCGGGCTGGCAGCACGTGCTGTGGTCTAGCGCAGTCACTACCTTGGCATTTAAGTACTTTTTGTTGACCTCAAGGAGACCACTTCTACCTTTGTGGACACCCTCGGGTGGAAGAAAAGTATTAGCAAGGGGGAAAATCGCATCTAGCATTCGCACAAGAGCCCTTAACTCCCAATAAATTGTTTGTTTATTGCTTTATCAATAGGAAAGGCGCCATTCTATAGGTTAAAATTTAAAATACAAGATCCTTGAATTGCACTGGAAGTGAAACACAGACTTTTTGGAATACACTTATAGTAAGGAGGACATTTCTTTCTTGCATTGTTTGCAACTTGTAGGTAGTCTCTTAGTGCATGTGCAAGCGCCATGTACTCGGCGCGTTTCTCATCCCCACCTGGAGACAAACCAAATCTGCAATCTCTTGAACCCGGGAACCTACATGTGTGTATTGTAGATAGACATTTCCAAAACGGTCTAATAGTGTGTGTAAAAAGATTGCTTCTTGATCTTAATTACTGTAAACCAAAAAAAACAAAAACCAAAAACGCCAAAATGCAAATGTTTATCGAGAGAAGTTCCATGAGGCAGAAGACAGAAATACCATTCCACAGCTGCAGCGGAAAGAAAGTTTGAATAGCAACAAAAACAATCTCAGCTTTCAAAAGGCCAGGGAAGGTTTTTTAACACGGTGAAGCGTGATTAGGGATTAGCACGTGAAGCGTGATTAAGGATTAGCACGTGAACCGTGATTAAGGATTAGCACGTGAAGCGTGATCATATTGATTGAGAGGGGAACTTGTTCAGGAATTCAGTACATGATGATAGGTTACAAGTGTCTTCACCTGGAATGCACGTTAAACGTGCATCCCAGTGAAAAGAATACAAGAAAGAGCTCGTGATCTTTTTTTTTTTATTTGAGTTTCCTGATTTGCTTGTGCGAAGCTGGTAAACGGTGCAGTTGGTGAGATCTCTTTTCCTGCGAAGCTGCAAATCCAACTTAGTACAAGGTAACTATTCCAGTCGGTTTTTAGGTTAGGCGGTCGATGCGAGCACATTTTTCTGCAGCCGTCAATTATAGGATTTTCTCTTCCGTAAAGACAACATCAACGATAATGTTCAAATAATGGTAACACATTAACACAGAGTTTCCGTAAGAGCGGTCTGCTCGATTTGGCCTGAGATACAATTTTGCTCATTTCTTGTGTGTTACAAGACATTCATGTCCTTATCTTTATGATTGGATTTAGTGCCGGGGTACTTATTTATTCATTTACCTATTGGTAATTTCCAGAAATGATAAAGAGGGTAATAATCAAGTAGTAACAGGGTTACTATGTTTAAGAATTTCCGTTTTTGTTTGCAGTCAATGTCTTTCGAGTAGTCCTTATTAACTTTTCGTTTCTATTGGACTTTCTATTAGAACCAAAAGCGTTAAAAAAACAGAATTTTCTGCGAAGTTCTAAACCCTTTGTTTTCATAACTGAATGACAAAGCAAGCTAAAGTGACTTCCTCGTGGTGAATAATGCATTAATTCTTGTTATCATAAACAAATGGCGAGACGTCCATCCTAAATTACTCTTCCGCTATTAAAACAATCGATATTTATACAAAAAAGCAAATTCCAGAGACTCATAAGTGAAACTGTGCGGACGGAGAGGCGATGAAGCTTTTAGTCTTACTTTACTTTTGCTGTAGGCGGAAATTAGTATGCACTCATTGAGTGATCGGGTAAATTAACGCTTTATTCTGTCCCACGTGTCTTATTCATAAGTTTTTTCGGAGTGTGAATCAAGACATTATAGCGAAAGAGTCACCTCAGTAGAATGGAATTTATCGAGGGGTGGGCGAATTAGCATACTGTCATCGCACTCTTTTATCCAAAACAAAAATATTTTGTTGGTTCCTCAGCTCTTTAAAAACTGCTTTAGAGGAATGTACATCACTCAGAAAACGACACCCGGCTGGAATCTATAGCTATGTATCAAACATGAATTAGAATTATTTGGAAAGACGAGAAAGGGATTCTCAAAATCATTTCTTCACTATCAATGACTCTGCTGGAAATGAAGATATTCATGTTTAAGGTTGGTAAAAGTTGAACCGCCAGAAAAATGCTACAAATTCTCTAAACACTGCTGTCGATGATTAGCTTTCTGTTGCTCTTTCTTATAAACAAATTGACCATAAAGCTAAAACTTTTTCGTTAGACGTGCTTCAGCAAAGCGGGAATGAAAGGTGGGGAAAGAGGGTGTGAAGATTTAATTTATTTGGTGAAAATGTAGGCGGGCGAAAGATGTCTTAAACTTTCCAAGCAAGGAGTTATGTGGGGATATCAGGTCATATCAAGGGTGCTATCATTGACGTTTACCTTTTACGTACGTAACGTGGCTGGGTGATAAGGCATGATAAAATTATATTTTTATTTTATATGTTTTGAACGCACATGCACTAAAAAAGCATTTGTAAGCAATTACAATTATTTTTTCAGTTGCAACTTATTTGCATCACATTTACGTTTATATTTTAGTCCAGTTGGTTCGGCTACTTGAAGAAACCGCACTGAGTGTTAATAAGGCTTCCTGTACTCGAAGAGTTTTTGTTTGGCCGTTTTAATCTTTCGATCCCTTTTATTTCCCAAGAACTACATAAGAGTCTTCACTTCAGAACTTCTTCTGGCGAACACTTAAAAAAAGTGAAATTTAAACATATGTCAAAGAATAGGAGTATAATTTGCGCGAGAGAGCCAGCGAATTCATTGCCTCGGGAGTGAAACTGTACAAAGTTGGGTTGCTTATCTCAGTAACAATGCATGATAAATTTCTACTGTTGGAAATGAGCTAAAGAACGTATTTTGATAATAAAACTAGTAATGAGAAAAAGAAGGGAATTTATTCAAGACAAGTGAGGGATCTTCTCCTAGATATTGCTAACCCGGTTCCTTTGTGCATTGTCTCTCCTATAATACCATTCATAGCGACTTATTTTACATCTGTTTGTCGTTCTTGTCTTTGTTTTGTCCTGACGCCTCGAGATGGAAACCAACGAAAGAACTGATTCAAATTAAACGGGAGGAATTAAAAAAGAGTTATTTTGTTTAGAGCGGCAGGTCGATCCCCTTGTTTTGGAAGACTTGCAGCATTCAGGCAATGGGCATAATTCCTTATGTTTATAGAGACGCCTCACCTCATTGGTCTATTCTTGGCAGCTGGAGATCACATATTATTTGCCATTATTTGCATATTCACAGGTTGGAAGGCAAGCTATAGACGCACTACAGCGAAAACTAGAGCAAAGCTCCTAGGTTTTCAAGCGAAAGTGTTGGCTTCACTCAGACTCGATAATGTTTATTTACAATTCTCTGCTAACAGAAATCTGAACTAGAGGATGCAAGTGGACGCTCACAGGTAAGAATCAAAGCAAGAATTTCAGGTGCACTGTGATCAAAACAATTACCACAGAGATTGTGTTGATTTTCCGACCGAACAGCAGTAAATTGTTTTTAGCAAAAATCTTCTATAAAAAAGCGGACATTGCAAAAGTTATCAAGGTCTATCTCCCATGGAATTGCCCTTAAATATTTGCAACAGAGGTTCGTATCTTTTTCGGGAATAGAATTCGCAGTCGCGGATAAAAATGCCCAATATTTTTATTAAAGTTGAGCGGCGGAAAGGTTTTCATTGTCATTGAACACGCACCTGCTCAGGGTTCGGAGTGAAATTCAATTTGTGTCATCTAGGTCTGCTTTTTTGTCCTCCGTTTTGCAGTTTTTCACGGAAGATTCTCTGTCGAAACCAGTGCGACAGTTGCAAAAAAGTCATCCGATTTCTTGGGGTGTGTTGCCAGGATTGCAGGTTGGTAGAAGCTTGAGGGTTTAACCAGCATTGAGCTGACTGTAAAACTACTCACTACCCATGAATAGTAATGTGTATACAGAGCACAACTGACTTGACAATCTTCCTGTTTTGTGTTTAAATGTTCAGGCGTTAAGGAATATTTTCCAATATCTCTCTGAATTAAAGGTTGAAATATCACCAAAAGTGCTCGACATCTCTTTTAGCGGAGTGCGAACGTCGATGCCGAAAACATAATGCCGGTAAGAGAAAGACAAAATATAACCTTTAAGGTGTAATTAATATTTATTTTACTCAACGAATTCTTTTCCTTTCAGTTTATGTGAATGAATTACTGATTTCCAAGCATTTGGACGTTTTTTGTCATGTAACAAATTTCAATCTTTTTAACCTGCTTGATGATTGTTTCAGGAAAAACAAGAGCCAAGCGATTTTGGCGAAAAGGGCAGAGTGTCTGTGGGAAGTGGTCATTACATCACGCCAACCTAGAACATCTCGCTCGAAAAGGGACGCAACAAACAGTTTTACCCCTGAGTGCTAAAGGTAAAATCCGGCAAAAACTTATCAATGGACTATACGAGTCCTTTTGTTACAGCCCGAGGCATGCTCTCGACTTTCGACCGAATAACTCGGAGGAATTACAAGGGACATCGCTTACGGTAACAGTTGAGCGACATCCTTCACCAGAAAGGTATTACCCGTCAAGAATCTGTGAAAACCTGACCACTATAGACCAAGACGACGCAGTTCATAAAAACCTTTTGGCAAGCTCGAACTGGCATCCTGCTAACTCTTGGTCAACGTCAGCTAGCTGTTCATATTCTTCCGGCTATTCGTCTGCAAATACATCGTGTCCATCTTCAGCTAATTCACACCGTAGTTGCTCGCCTACGCCAGATTTTTCCAACATTAAACTTTTAAATGCAACTTTAGAAGATTACAGCGGTGAAAAGAATGGTTTTTCAGAGGATGCTGATCTGGGGATTGGTACTGACGATGTGGATTTAGGAGATGAGTATTTAACAGAGCCTTGCGATTTTTTCGCCACTTGGCCTCAAAAGAACAGAATGCAAGAAAAGCAGAGAGTCAACAAACGAATATTTTCCGGTAAGTTGTGTCTACAAGTTTATCGTACACATTGAATCTTTGCGCTAAGAGCGTCTTTGATAAAAGGGTGTCTTTGGAGTAAAGTAGATTGGAAAACTGAAAAAGCCGGAGCTGTGTATGCGATATTAGCAGTATGAACTTGTTTCAGTATATCATTATCAATCATGACAAAGCTGAAGTACTGAGTTTCGGCGACGATAAAGACAAGGTACTCCTTAATTTCAAATGCTAAACTTAGATGAAGTCTCTGCTGACAGAAAACGAGCTAAGCACACAAAACATCAGTTTCACATCAGTCACGTTTGTGATTCTTAATGAATATGTATTCAGTAGTGCGCCAGCGCTCGCAAGTCAATATTATTGATGATGATTTTCATGTTGCGATGGCCGTCGATCTAAGTTGTCCACCTGTTAGTTTTTTTATCATCTCATCCGCTCTTCGGGGGCGAAAACTGAGCAAAGAGCTGACTCATTTGATTATAACCTGTGGACTTGAATAAAATCATTTTGCTACGAGCTGCAGCCATGAGACACGATTCGCCGTAAAGTTTCTTCAGTGTCGCTTACGGAAACATGGAAACCTACGATGCTGATTTACTTTACGAGGAATTTTTTTTCGCAACTTTTTCGTCGAAATCGACCGAAAACGATTCAAACTTTGCTTGCTAAAAATTACCGGTTTCTGAAAAAAATGCTAATAGCAGTATCAAATCAGTAGTTTATCTCGGTAGCGCTAATGCAAGTTATGGGTTGTCTCGGGATTAATTGCTTATGGTTGGATGATTGTATTCAATATGCCTAATAAAACCCGCTTCAGGTGGAAATAATTTGAAGCCTCTTGCGTTTTTATTCTTACCCCGTTCAGTTGAACTTTAATCGTTGCGTGTTCATAGCTCTTAGAAAATTTTATGCCCTGAGAGCTCACGTGAAAAAAAAAATTAGGAATTTAATAGGTTGAGTTTGTAGTTCACATTTTTCCCCTGCCCTCTGAGTGTTCGCTTAGACTGCTTTTCGACCCTTCAGTCATGAAAACCTGCATAATATTTCTGAAACAAATTTGTTCATAATCAGAAGTCAAACGGAAGTCTATTCAGATCATTAAAATCGACAAACATTTCTTAAATGATTCCTTGACTGTGCACGGATCAAAATATTTAAGGGCACCTCTATAAACCTAGCCAACGCATTCTTGGCTAAACATGGTTTCTGATTGTTAGAAACTTTTACTTACGATATTAAATTTCAAAGGTGAGACATTTTTACTGGTTCAAGGCACACCTTCAGTTTCGTGCGGCTTTATTTTGTAACGTTCCGGGCCCTAATACAACACCCAAACGCGTAGGTCTTCGTTTAGTTTCAATGAATGTGCTGTTTTAGTCTCTTTGTTTGGCGAAAATCCCCCAGAAAATGATGTTCAGTAAATCTGAGGTTATTTTTTTATTTGTATGTCGAAAATCCCACGGAACATGTTGTGGTTTTAAGCTGTAGTTTGAGAAATTTACTCAGCTTGATGCCTACACTAGTCCTACGGAGATCAACGAGTATTTTACAACTGATGACGTAGAGTGAGATAATGACATGTAGATAAGGGATATTTTTCAGTTTTCCATTTGAAGACAATTTACTGTGAGTAAATGCTACCTCATGAATTATAAACCTGCTATTTTCACATATTTTCCTGTTCATTTTCAAAAGACACGTCAATAGAGTTATCGCGTTTCTTCGAATTGCAATTAATAATGCATGCTGTCTGTCTCTCATTAATGCACCAATTTATTTTCCTGCAGCTGATGACTTTCAGGCATTTAGATATCACGAACCACTGCCCACGGTAAATAAAAGGTAAGACTGGATCTCTTCATCGATCACGTACAACAAATTAATTGCTAAAAGGATGTAGAAAAAAAAAAAAAAAACTAACGGAAGAAAAAACTTATACCTGGAGGTCCAAGGTAAATTAGATATCAAAATTTAGGAAATCATTTCATCTTGTAAGTTTCGAATAGGAGAATCGGATTGAAACGAGAGAATAAAACGATTTCAACTTTTCCTTCCTTTTGAAGCTTGCTTTTACATATATTAACTTACTCTTACGCAATTAGTTGAAAATTAGATTATAAAAGTTCAGAAGCATTTCTAGAATTTTAGATTCCTTTCACTGGGCTTCCTGATTTGGTCGCCATGAACAGGCTTTAGATTAATATTTTGATATATGACAGGATAGAAATTAAAAAGAAACCAAAAAAACCTCCCCCTCTGTATGTAGATCTATTTTTAGCCGTCTTTAAGTGTTTGCGAGCTGAAAAAAAAAAACCGGATGTTTAGCGAGTGTCATATTTTGGATATGAAAGCAGGACTTTGTCAATTCTTGCGAAATCGGACGCGGTCCTAGATGAAAAGATAAATTCAAACTGAACTCACGCATCAGTTCCTCCATCATGCCACGGATTTTCCACTGTTTCCGGAAAAAATCTGAGCCCCAAGCAAGTTTGGCCTGCAAATTTAAGCTAATTACGGATAGGTAGCACATATAATTAGTAACATTCATTAATTAGTATTATTATTATTATTAGTAGTAGTAGTATTATTGTTCCAAAAATTGTCTGGAGTGCCAGACGACGGAAGCAGTAGATATGCTCCTCATTTCAGAGGTGTTTTCTAACTTCATTTCTCGTCACTTCGCAATGCGTCTCTCAAATTAAGTAATTTGGATATATCAACAAAGTTGAAGTGGTAAATTGGCCACCGTAACGATTCCAAAAGCTGACGTTTCGAGCGTTAGCCCTTTGTCGGAGCTAATCAGTGTCTGGCACGATTTAACTTTAAAACAGATCTTACTGCATATTTTTATTCAATCTTCCTTTTAGCTTGAAAGGAGATAAGCAGGATGAAGAGGATATTAAGGTAGGAAACGTTTTTGCAGCATCTAGCGGTAGCATAGTAACGTTTTTGTGTTTGCCAACTCGACAACAACGAAACAACAATTTATTCTTTGATCTTTTTACATAAAATAAAAGTGGGATACTTTGCTCCCCAATAACTAGAAAGCTAATCGTCGCGGGGCAAGACAAGGACCTCAATAACATAAATCGTCTAGTATCTGAGGACAAGGAGTCTTTATTTACTCAGTCACACAGTCACAGAGTCACACATAAAAAGATAAGAATAAGGTGCATATCTATGTACCTACTTTTGTAATGATCATTGGCAATGTGCAATCACGCTACCTGTTCCCCCTCCCCTCTCCTCCTCAGTCCCCAATTCTCTCGGCGCCGTCCCAAATGAAACTAAAAACATCCATCCAAGACTAAAATGTTTGCTAACATGTATGGGGCCTAAAATATGACATTGGAGCCTTTCATTGGAGATCTAGTTTTGACTTTGAGCACGAGAATCAGGTTCAAGACCGGTTTTTATCTTTCGGCGCGTGAGTGAACTTGGTTACTTCGCCTTCAAATACAATAGCCTGTTAGAGAGCATTCAAGATCAAGTTTGTCCTTCTGACCTGTAGTACACAGCGGTTAAAATGAAATCGGTTTTATTCACGTACCTAAGAGAACTACCTAAATAATTAAACACATGCTGTATATATGCAGGTCTCGAGGGTATTACATCACACCATCACGCCTCGCATTACATCGCGCATATTTCATGCTCGTTGGCATCCTATACACTACATTCCCTCCTTTCCTAAATGTTCAACATACAAATCAAAGTCTTTAAATTAAACCAGTCGCTCGATAAAAGGACAAGAAGTTGAAGATATTCAGTTCATATCATATTCAGTTCATATNCGGGTCTTGACTGACGAGCTGGTGTTGCAAAATCTTTTTTGTCTTCTTCTCGGGAGGCAGGTCCGCGAGTCACTAGATTTGCCTCTTGCCCCAGTCTTCCGCGTCCACGTCCACCCCGACCAAATCCACCTCTGCTATTCCTCGTTCCTTTGGATCCCGACTGGGCGCCGCCTCGCTGATGGAATTGGGGGCATTTGACTTTGAAATGGCCTATCGTACCGCACTTCCCGCAAGTCTGACCTCGCGCCGGGCACCTCCAATCCTGACTAAAGTGTCCTTCCCGTCCGCAACTAAAGCACGTCTTCAATTTTCTGGGATTCTTGTTTCCATCCACTTTTCCTCTCACTGCATTGACCCGGTCTACCTGGTCCGTGTTGAATTGTTTCAGTTGTCTATCAACTGCTTCTTGGGATCTCGCAACCCGCAACAAATCACCCAAAGTAACAGTCCCTTCCTTTTCCAGGAACTCCCGGCGCAAGTGGCTTGAGTAACACTTGTCTATGAGTTGATCCCGAATATAGTCGTCCTCGTTGACGCCAAACTCACAAGTCGCTGCTCGCTGACGCAATCTGCACACAAACTGGTCCACAGTTTCTCCACTCTCCTGCGAGATTTGTCTAAACAAATGTCTCTGAAAAGGAACATTTGACTTGGGAACAAAATAATTGTCAAGTACCTGAAGTGTTGCCTGAAAACTCACATCCTCGCCATCACCGGCTAATGTGAAATAAATTTCTTGAACGTCCATACCAGCAACGTGCAACAGAAGAGCTCGCTTTTGAGCGTCGTTCGAAACACCTTTTCCCGTCACGTACAAATCGAACGCTCGCTTCCATCTCTTCCACCGCTGACTTAAATTGTGTGCCTCTCCCTTCGGATTAAATGGTTCCAATCCACTGACATCTAAAGCAACTGTAGCCATTCCAGAACCATTAACAGAACTGCCAACAGCACCGCTTGTCGTTTCGTCTGATCCACCATGTCCCGGCATCTCTGAATAAAATCTCTGGCGAAATCACTTACGAATTCCCGGACGAAACTCCTGAAACCCTGGACAAAACCTCGAAATCCTTGAAGTCCTCTAAATCTTCACCATTCTCGAAATCCTCGTCGCCAATGTAGTACACAGTGGTTAAAATGAAATCGGTTTTATTCACGTACCTAAGAGAACTACCTAAATAATTAAAGACATGCTGTATATTACATCACACCATCACGCCTCGCATTACATCGCGCATATTTCATGCTCGTTGGCATCCTATACACTACATGACCTCTTAACGATATTAACGTTTTCTAATCCTTCTTACAGAAATCTCTTCGAGAATGGAGCATCCCTTACTCAGATTTACAGTTTGGGGAAATAGTGGGTGTCAGCCCCAAAGGATACGTTTACAAGTGAGAATTCTATTGTCATTATCGATTAATGTCCTTTGTCTCAAATATGCCTACTAACCTAAAAAGGTGTCAGTTTTGGGAATAGATTGTAATGAGTGAGTGAGTGAGAATGGAGGAAGGTTTGAATATTGCGATCGACTTCTTCTGTTGTAAAGAAGCCTCAAGTCTCTATGCCGTTTTATTCACGTGAAAATCTGTCTTTAGGGGAAGGTGGCACGGCGACATCATGATTCATACGCGGCGGAGGTCAACGAAAGAAGAAGTCGAGGAATTCCTCAACGAGGTGTCTGTGTTGAGCATGATTAGACATGAAAATGTTGTTCTCTTCATGGGCGCGTGTCTTGAACCACCAAACCTTGCAGTCATCACCAGGTACACATTTCTCTCGTCTGTCTTCTTGAATATTAAACGAATTGTTAGAATAAATTGATACTCAATAGTCCCCTTTTTTTCTAGTGTAAGAAGAGGTTTATCACTCTACAACCATCTTCATGTTCGGCAGGACTTGTTCTCATTGCAGTCTAAGATATCTATTGCCAAGCAAATTTCACAGGTTTGTGTCTACACCCATCGTAAATCTTCAAAATGAATTCACTTACGTTAAAGTGAATCTTCTATAAAGTGTGCTCAGATTACTTAGATGCACTTTAGAAGAATTTATTTTATTACTGTTTAATTGACACTAACGGAAATCAAGAAGGCCACTGATGAGATCAATGATTATCATCTGTTGCACTTGTTTAAAAGATAAATCCAACAGAACTGCCATTCAAGTTGAAGAAGAATTGGGAGAATTAAACAGAAAGAAGAACATCAAGAAAAACGGCGAGAATTGATACCTGGTAGATGTCGATGAGAATTCCCACAAGGATCTCATAGACTGTATAATTTTCCGTAGACCTTGAAAACGTCCTTGATTTTTTGTTGTCAACCGACACCTCTCCCTCAGACCAGGTATTTGTTTCTAAGTGCTAAAATCAGATATCGTTTTTTGTTTTTTTGTTTTTATTTCTCTCCAGGGTATGAGTTATCTTCATGCCAAAGGCATCGTTCTTCCAGCCCTTACCACCATGAACGTGTTTCTTGAGTCCAAAGTGAAGCTCTGTGTTTCAGGATATTGCAATAAAACGACACGAGTTGAAAGGTCAGGAAAATTGTTTGTACCTGAAGCACAAAGAGGGATATCCCAGAGCAGCAAGGAAACAAACTCCTGGCGTAAATGAGAATTTAGTGGAGGACATTCCACTAGAAGGCTCTTCTTGTCCACTGTTTCCAGGTCGAATAGGAATTTGAAATGATGGTTTTTTCAAAGGGAGGAATACCGGAGGACCCGGAGAAAAACCCGGACAAGGACGAAACCAGCTCCGGGAATCGAACCCGGGCCACAGTTGTTGGGAGGCGAGTGCTGTCATCACTGCGCCATCCCTGCTCCCCCGGCGTATTACTCACTGAGTTAGCCAGTATTAGTCCAATTTATCATTGATTGTGTCTTTCGCATTGATTGTGTCTATGTTATTTTTTCCAGGGAGGGCTATGCCAGTATACCACAGGGACATCTGACATACCTCGCTCCCGAGCTCATGCGCACACTTTCAAGGAAAGGCTGTGTTTTATCGCCCGAGGAAAAGAACTCCGAATGGTCGAACGTGTACGCGTATAGGTACGTTTCCTAAAATTTGAAACTAAAACAACGGCCTTCGATTGAATACTTGCTCGGGGTAAATTTTTGACACTTCAAGAACCGATGCCATTTTAATGTTTACGTGCCAGTGTGTTCAAAAGCTGTTGACACCATCTCACGCTTTTGATAGCCACTCAAACACACTTACCGATAGACACTCGAAAGGGTGATTATTTGAGCTAAATTATTTGTTCAACGATATATTATGTTACCAGCACGATCCTGTTCGAGATTCTTACCGGCAGATGGCCCTTAAACTTCCCAACACATTCCATCATATGGATGATCGGGAAAGGAAGGCAAGAAAGTGTAGCACATCTACAGTGCCCGGAATCCTTCAAGGTGAACTAGTGAACGGTTGAAAAGCTATCATGGGCATTTCCTCTTTATCTCTGTTTTTGTGTCATCAGAACATGGAAGTGTTTTTTACCACGCAACTTAATTTTTATTCTCTTCAGCAACTTATTAAAGATTGTTGGAATAACCAGCCAAGAGCTCGACCGCAATTCAGCCGGATCGCCGAGTTTCTTCAGCAACAGAACGTGAGTGTTGTCCGTTACAGCACATTGACTAACTTTTATGACTTGTTGGGCATTTGGCAGTTAGGATAGATATAAATCACTCTGATTCTGATTGTGTTGTCTCTTTCTTAATACGATTGCCATGCTTTGTATCCTAGTTTGGGGGACTTTTTTTTCAGAATCCGCTTCTTGTAACTGATTATTCTTCAATGTTAAAGATCGTCTAAATCTATGTGGCTTTACGCGATACAAGATATTTATGATAACTGATAAATTCATGAAGTAGAGAGCAGTCCATGTATCTGTTAAGAGATTTATTGTTACTTTTGCCGGAGTGGTCCTCGATTTACTGATATCAATCGTTATCCAACGATTAGCTTGGTAGGGATTGAAAACAAATCGAGCCAGAGAAAAAAATAAACTGACACACCATTCATGTAACAAAAGGTAACTATACATAAATTAGGACAGCGTTACTGATTCTTTGAGCTGATCCTTTTCGTTTTTGCAGGTCCCTCCAGAACTTGCTCGTAGAAGAATCAGCTTCTCGGAACCAGAGAAAATGAACTTTATTGGCCGTAAAATGAATACGTTATCTATAAAGTGATTCCTGCTGCCAAAATATGTCGGCATCATTCGGCCAAGTAGCCATAGTGAATTTGCTTTAAAATGATCGCTTCAAGCATGTTTCCCACAGCATACTTACTTACGCATTTTATACGATGAAGTACTGATGAAGCGTTCGTCAACAACTTAAAGCCAATACAGAGCTTTCGGCATATTTATAAAAATACTAGGTACAGTGTTTCAACTCAGGGGTCACCGTACATGGCACATCCTCGGTGCTTCATTGGTAATAGAATACTCCGCGAATATTTTGGCCAATGAAAATTATTTCTACATGACAATCATGGGTGGTTTGAAAAAAATTTTTTTTTAGCTTCATATCTTTTCGTGTTCAAACTTTTTTCGGCGGAACAATTAGAGAAAACTAAGAATCTTGTAAAGTTTTAACCTCTTAAGCCAAAGCAGGCGTCTCTAGACAACGCTAGCTATGTTTAAGCGACAAGTTTACATTTGATAAAAAAACAAAACAATAACAACAAAACAAGACAAAAATGATCGTGCATACCGTATATGCCTTTGCTCCAAGCATGAAGACAGCTGTCACTACAAAAACAATGATTTGTGATTTATATGTGATATTTTTTATTTATATTATATCGGGGTATTTTAGTAAAAAAAAATCTAATAATCATCAAACGGTCTGTACAAACGGCTTATCAGTAGGATCGATCGAACTACTTAAATCAAAAGATTTGTTTTCCACATCAGTATGTAGAGGATGGTTCCATTTTTTATACTTTGTTTGATATTGACCGGCGACAATGCCTTTGCATTACTATTGTAGTTTTGTATATTTTCTGAAAGTTAAATTCTTTTTATCTCTTAGTCTACGAGGCGAACTTCGCCCTGTGTAGCGCACACATTTTTACGTATAAATGGCCCTTCAATAGCTACAGGAAATTTCACGCGGGCTGAAATAAAATAGCAGAAACTTGAAAGTATCAGCAGAAAAAAACTTGGATCATCCAATGAAATGCTTTGAATAGTTGTTTAGTACCTTATTTGCGAGGTTCAACATTGTAAAACGGTTTCACTTTGTTCAACCAACATTATTGGCGGTTAGCATTTAAACTACTGCAGCCGGTTTAATTTAGGCGTATAGCGTTAAGTCACCGACCGGTTAGTATCAAAGCTCCGTAGGGCCGGCTTAGGTCTTAAGTTCAATGATAGCAAACCCTACTTTTCCTGCTAACGAAGTGAGTTAAAACTCAGAGGCAGGTGGGAAAAGGGCGACCCTGGTATGAGGAACTTGAACGGAAGTTTTTCAGTTCAATATGTTCCTCATGTCCTAGACCAAAGATACACCCAAGAATATTTGGTGGGACTCATGTCAAAAGAATCATTTCAGGTTAATAAAAATATCTTTTTCGGTGTTAACTCCACCCAACAATTGAAAGCATGTTTTTCATAGGTTTTTTTTTTTTTCAGGATGCGAATTGAGCACTTTTTAAATTTTGAAGGGTATCGTGTGTAGTGACACAAGGTTCCCTCTGTCACGAGTTAGGTTAAGCTCACTGAGTTGTTGGAAGACGTTGAATAAGAAAGTAGGTTATTGTTTGTTGTACTGATCTCTAGTGCTGGGTACTTGATAAAACTTCTCCGACTTGCGGGCAATGAAAGAGAAGTTGATCAACCAACAAACAGACAAAAAAACATGTAAAGAAACAACAAAATATTAACTTATAAGATCAGTCATAATTAATAGTTGAAATATTATCCCTATAGTCCTCTTCTCCTGGTTTACTATTCTTCTTGTGCTGGAATCGCGCAAGGTAGGGGTGGGGTACACTGCTGCAACATAAACGTGACGCGGGGGATGTGACGAAATATCGATGCAAAGTTCTCAGTCAGGCTTTGTCGTAACTTCCACTCAAAATGAACCGGTTGAACTGAACAAAATAGCGATGACATAGAGATGAATGGCTGGGTCCGAGCTGATCCCTTTTGAAGTAAGGAACTCGTGTATTTGAAAACAATTTGTTTTTGCATAAGTATGCATCACTTTAACTTCTCTGGTTTGTTAACTCATGATAATAGTTCAAAAGGTGGACGTAATGTTTACTATGTAAACTTTGACTGAGAAATCAGTCTCGAGTAAACTGTTACATTGCCGAAAACATATTTTGTTGCCGTTTTCGGTTTGATTACGGATTTTAGTTTTATTTCATAGACATTTTTTGCATGTATCTCACATTCTTTTCACGTGAATGCATGTGGTCATGTGTAACTGGTTTATTGAGTAACTAGTTTATTGAAAGCCTGGAGTTATTGTATAAAGAAACCTTAAATAAAAGCTTGAAAGGAACGCTGTCTTGTCTTACCTTTACTTCACCATGCATAGATCGACCTCAGAGGGCCTCATTATGGTTCACTTGTCCTTGATTTTACTATCAGTACTATCAATTGGACTGCGCCCGTGGGACTGTATCGAATTGATACATCTCAAACGAGCGATGCCAGTATTCTGCTCTTAAATGGAAAGTTCGGAAAATTCCTTTATTACCTTTCTGTATAATTGACCGTAATAAATGGATGAACACCGTCTTCTTCGGGTGCTTCCTAAAATGAAACTTTCGCCATGTGACCAGGTAACCGAGGCTCTCCCAGTTGAGCCCACTTTTGAGGTGAAATTCCTGTTATTTCGTTGATTCATGCAGTGCGGTTACAATTGTTTTCTTTTATTGTTGTTTTCTTTACCTTGAGAATCTTATGACCTTGGTCGAACGCGTGCTACCATAAGTTCAACACAGGTGGGGATATGTGGAGATGCCGCAAACGGTAATACAACATCCTCCCAAAACCAAAATATCGAGAAAAGTGACATGATTTGTTTCATCTAAAATAGAAGAACACGAAAAAATTATATTAAGATTAGCTGTCGACTCAGCAAATCTCATCAGACTATGATCTATTCACCTGATAAGTAACCGATACAATTGCTGATAAACCCGGATATTTGGCGAGCTGGCCGTCATTAGCGCTGTCGTAGCGTTTGTGAATTCAAGGTCTGCACGAAGGCTTTTATTAGTTTCCGACCTTTACCTGTTTAATAGCAGTTCGTAACCATACATAACCGATACAAATGAACTAAAATACTAATACTAATAATAATAATAATAATAATACATATATAAACAAACAAAAATAAAAAAAATGGTTAACAGGATGGTAGTAGGGGGAAGCCAAATTTCCATGCTAAGACATACCCTCCAAAAATAGTAATGCATAAACTTATATTAAAAACACTATGCCTAGTATTAAGAGCATAGGTAATCAGTGAAACTTTAAAAGACTGGAGGCTAGGAGATGACATTACATCAGAAGGCAGAGAGTTCCAATCATTAATACATCTATGAAAGAATGAATATTTTAAATAATTTGTACGGGCAATTTTCGGCCTTATTTTATACTCATGTTTACTTCTTGTACGAGTTATTCCAATAATATCAAAATACTGATGGCAGTTGATATCACAGTAACCAAATATAATCTTATACATTTTAACTAGGCTAAGATATTTCCTTCTCAGTTCTAAAGAGACCCAATTTAACCCTAGAAGTCGGGCGGTGTGCGCACTCCGATTGCATTGCATTGTGGTAGCGTTATTTTCAATATGGCGGTAAAAGCGGTTGAAATAGCTAGAGTTTGACTGAATATTCCGTAAAAGTTAGGCCGTTTCTTTTTCCTTTCACTATAGGTAAATATAATTTGATATATTCTGAATGCGTAGAAATACTTTTCGTGCGTATTTGTCACGTATTATATCGTTCTCAAGGACAAACACAAACACTGTATTTTAGCATGTAATTTGAGACCGGTATTCGAGCTAGTCAAATTCGTTGTACGTCGTAGTTTGAAGCCTTTCAAAGATTTGTATGGCCACTTTGATCCTTCTTCAACAGCTCTGACCAAACGCGTTCAAACGCGCTCCAACGGTACAAATGTTTTGTGCATTTTAAGTGATAGTGTTTAAGACCCTTTTGTGGAGCGAAAAGGCCCATTGTTGCGTTTCTTGTGTTACGTTACAGAGCGTTAGTACTGTAAGGGCATTTGTCAATCATGTTGTAAATCTACTTTCCTCAGTGAAGGAAAATTAATTAATCGCGAGTGTTGTGTGGTAAATCTTCTATCTTGATCATCGAATGAAGGACAGTTTAATTAGAGCAATGAAAAGAGTCACTTGATCCATGAAAACCTCTGCCTTGCGTGAGGCGACACGCCGGAAAGCCGGAAGGCAAAAGGCAGTCGACCGTTGAAAGGTGTTGATAGGCTTGTGCGTCTCCTACCATTCGCTAGCGCTTTTAAATCTTCTACCCTCAAAGTTAAGCTCTTATTAGGATATATTTTGATGACTTTCCTTTGCGATGTGATAGTAAGGGTCAGTTTTGAGGTGTTATAATTCTCCATCTGTATGTTCTTGAGGTTTGGCAAAGCCAGATGAGACTGCATTACAAAAGGCAACATTTTCTTCTGTGCGCGCGCTATTTTCTTTGTTTCAGAGTAAACTTGTCTCCTGAAGTAATAACTCCAGAGATACGTTTCTCAAAACCCTCATATAGGTTTCCTCTATTCTCGAAGGGTATATTGAAACTCTGCACATTTTTACTAAACGTGGAGCGCGACATTTGTTCTTAGGAGGCATCGAGCTTCTCCTTTTACAAATCCCGTATTTACGCTCGGTGGAAAAAGTTCGTCTATTACAAGGTCTCTGTCTCTCTAACTGATGCGTTTGCATGTCAAGGGTCAATTCACAGTTGAATAACTCGC